TTTTTTTTTTTGGGGGGGGGGGGGGGGGGAGCCTTTTTTTTTTTTTTTTTTTTTTTTGTCTTGAAAATGATAGACATTTGTAGAATATGGAGACTAACTCCTAGGAGTTGCTTTACTCTGTCAGGTGACCTAAGTCACTGGATTCACTAATTTTCTCTGAGAGAACAGTTGATTGAAAAATTTCTATTGTAAATAGCTCAGTGTTGTATAGTGATGCTTCACATGTTTTGTAGTTTTGGCATAAGGGACTAAACAACTGACTTCCCTCCCCTCCCCCTCTGACACACCTTCCTGCCCACACCCCCTCATCCCCCCACCTTTTTAATTCATTGAATGATGAGCCTGAGCATTACTGAGAGCATTGCTGTTCAAATAAGGTGGACCTTAGGCCACTGGAAACGAACCTGCAGCCGAGGGGCCTCTGACCCTTTTTCTTCCTCTCCTGTTTCCACCCAGCCTCTTTTGTAGACACTTTTTAATTGTGTTCCTTACTGCTGCCACAATCAGCATGACTGTATAGAATTCAGTTAGATCATTTACATACCAAGAGTTATATTAAAGCAGAATGCACAAAAGAACATGTCATTTTTGTTATAATAAATATAAAATTTACAAGTATTGGACCCATCTGCTTTTGTCTCAAGAGCCAGATGTGTCTTGCAGATGATCCCACCCAGCTTGGGTTTGGAATGAATGCATGTAACTTTGGGGTCATCAGATATTTCCGACTTTGATTTTTTTTTAAGGGAAAATACCCAATAGGTTAACCTACATTGAACGAATGTAGTGAAATCAACCCTGTGGTTAACAATACGCATAGCTGGTCTTACAGCCTTTCTATTTCTTCTTGTTATTGTGTAGGGTAGATGGTAAAAGGGGAATAGATGAGGTTGCATAGAGGAGATCCCTGGAAAACTCCCACAAAGCCAAGTTGGTTTCCAGGTCTCTCAAGGCCCCCTCAATCACCTGAACATGTTAATAGATCTTTTTATAAAAATTGGAGTATGGTTGATTAACAATGTACACCGGAGCTGGTTGCCTCGCTCTCTACCCCTAGCAGAAATAATGTCAGTGCAGTGGGGTCCACTAGGAAATCCCGTATTCCTAGCTGACTTACTGGCCCCATTTACAGACTCTAGTGCCCCACCCCTCCCCGCCGACCCTGCATCTTGTGAACCATGTTTTGGAGATGCTGTGGGTCTTCTCTCTTGTCCCATTTGGACTAGCTTCCCAGGTAGAATGGTTTTCCTTCTTCAGATCTACCCTCCAGTGGTACCTGGCTGGTTCAGTGACAGGACATGGCAACTAGTCTTTCTTGTAGACTCGGTAATGGGCTCTCTGTCCCCCCGCTGGGTGGTCAGATCAGAGGACCCCCCCCCACCTTGTCTTGGTGACGTCCGTTCTTCATTCCGTGTCAGGCTACTTGTACACTGTGTACTTTGGAAACCACTAAGGCTGTGGAAGGAGACTGAGTTCCTCTCAGCCCATAAGGGACCCAGTGATCAAGGGACTAGACTGCCCAAGCCCGGGCAGAGCTCTCTGCTCTAGAGCTGGAGCAAAACCATCTGAGGGTCCCTGCAGCCAGCCCCACTCAGCAGCACCTTGCCTCCCTGTCGTCCCTCTGCTCCAGGTGGATCGGAGCAGACTTGGAAGGCTCTGGGTTTTCACCCCAGTGCCGTAGTCACTACAGAAGATCTGGGCTGGCTCTCTGACCTCCTCGGTGCTTAAATCCCCTGTGGACAGGGCTCACCTGTTGCCTGGAGCGGGGCCGGCCCAGATGGTCAGTGCGGATCCGATTCCACAGCAGGTCCCTTCCAGAGGAGCCACCAACACTTCCGCCCTGAGCATGGCCAACAGAGGCAGCAATAATTTGAGGAGTCCACGATGGGTCCCACAGCAACTGCTTGTGCCAGGGGCAGCTGCTGGGACCAGCAAGTCCCAAGTGGGGGCTCACGTCACGTCCTAACGTGTGTGGCTGACTGGGAGAAGGGGCACAGGCTTGGCGCTGCTGTTTTCCTAAGGCCTCCAGTTCAGTGCTTGCTTGCTTCTCAGTTTCTTAGACCATAAAGTCACATTGAGCACACGCCGCATATAAGGCCCTATGGAGATAAAGGACAAAACTTTGCCCTTCGGAAGCTTGGGGTAAATAGGCATGTGGGTCAAAAGTAAGAGATGAGCACATATTAAGCGGCTAAAGACGCGGAGACCTACCACTAGGCCTCCTTGCTCTTGCTTAGGAGCCTCCCAGTTATTGCCTGAGGGGGAGTTTCTTTTCACTTCTGCTCAGCAAGTTAGCATCTAATAATGTATGCAGAACTGCTTATAAAACTGTGAAGTGCTTAACTGAAGATTCCTCAAAGCCACGGGATCTCCAGGGTGAGCATGAGGGGGAAGGGCATCCCCCAGCCCCGTCCCTCACTGTCCTTCCTGCTGGGAAGGCCAGCGAATTGGGAGAGGGCTGGTGGGTGGGTGGGTAAGAGGCTGGAAGCTCTGACGGGGCTCGCAGCCTTGCTAATAGACTCAGAGCTCCCTACCGAGGGCCCTGGAAGTTGCTTGGTGTTGGATCAGCCACAGGCTGCCACGTGTGTGCCCACGGAATAGTGGCTTTCCGGAGGGCACGAGGGCCAGGCTCAGGAGGCCCGACTCCCAATCTGACCTGGTTTCTCTAGATTGCTTTTGTCACAGCACCACCTGCTGGTGAGATTAGATTTTGGGTGGAAATGGGCATGACTCTTGGTCTTTCTCCTGCCCCTCTTCCAAAAGAAAGTTTCAGTTACTTTCATTCCTAGACACCTGACAGAAAGCAATCTCCAGCACTATTAAGTAGTCAGAGAAATATTAGGGACACTGACGTGCAGACATATCGAGATGTGTAGCCGGAATCATAGCATCGACCTGGGAGAGAGGAAGTCAGTCTCCAACATCCATCTAATTCTCCATTCCCCATAGGGAAGAATAAATAAAAACCCCCTAATACGCCTTGGATCTAATAGGACAACATCAGCTCATTGCTGGCACTGCCCAACGGGGACAAAGCACAATTCCCGTGCGAACACTCATCAGAAGGCACTTTGAATTCACTCTGACACGTCAGGAAATAGAATTTTTGTACAGTGTGGGGTTTTTGTACAGTGTGGTATCTGCCCTCCCTTCCTCCCAAGTGATCAAACCACGTAATTTGTAGATAGTAAAGCCTTATGTAAGTGGAAGTCTTGTCATTGTTGTAAGTAAAGAACTAAGGGTGGTCAGATAGAAAATAATTGGGAACACAGAAAAAGTAGTTTTTTAAATAAAAAACTCCCGGAGAGGAAAAAAACAAAAACTCCTAGGAAACATCTGTTGGGACTGTTACAGGAGGGAGGGATGATGTCATGGTAGAAAAAATAGGCTTTCCTCATTTCTTGCCATTGAATTTCTTTTGCTTTCAGTTCATCCCCCCAAAATGCATTTTGTGCAAATGGATCTGTGCAAACTTTATTTCCCTATTGTTGTTCACCTGTTGTGAACTGATTCCTATTGCTGCGTCTTTGAAAGATGGCTCTCAAGGTCGTCCCCTCACCCCACCTTTACCAAAATCGCAACCAATTTCAGACTTAGCTTGGCAGATCCACTGCCCTGATCAGTAACAAAGCAGGAACTACACCTAGCAGACAAAGCTTTGGGCGAGTGATAGGAAGCAAGCTCCACAGCCAACCTCACACGCACCCGATCCACCATGTCCATTCACGCCACGCATTTAGGAAGCACCAGCCAGAGCTGCCAGTGTGCTCAGCTCTGGGTCCCCTGCCCAGGACCACAAATGCAGTGGAGCTTGGGCGCCACGGTGGCTGTGCTGACCTCCTGAGGTCTTGGTCTCAGCCAGTTGAGGGCAGACTACAGGCCCTACATGTTGCCCCCTGCCTTCTAGAAGACTAAGGTTGAACCTTGACAGGAAGAAAGGGGCCAAGGGGTCCCCGAGGCCGCCTTCCACTTTTCAGGCTGTGTGGTAAAGTAGAAAGCCACGCTGTCCCCTGCCCTGAATTTAAGGACCCATAAACAAGTGCTGCTTTTGTTGGGCTCCAGTTCATTAGTCCTTCCATTTTCTTCTAAATCAGAAACACAATGTTCTATCCTGTTCAAAGGTGGAATGGCAGAACACGTGGAGAATTTCCTCCCGTCTGCTTATGACTAGAATTTCTCCCATTGTCATTCCTCTCTTTTTCTAAAGCCATGGAAGTAAAACTGGCCTCAGACTGAAATTTCAAGTACTTTCTAGTCATTACTATTTCTTAGGTCTTATTCCAATAAACTGAACTTCCCCCTAATTCCTAATCTTATCTATTGGAAGAAAGTTGAAATGGCAACTAAAATC